ATGACCCTGAAGGAGGGAGGTTTTCCGTTCCCCAAACCCCGTGGAAAAACCCCATGGCTTTGTAAGATTGCGAGTTTCAACGGGAACCCAGGGGGTTTGGCGGGGAGGGGGGGGGGGGGAGTGGGAGAAATGGGGAAGGTTGAACCCAGAGGGCGCGGCATTGGGATGGGGGTGGGGGGTTTAATGGACAGGAGGGAAACCCCCGGGCCAACAGCGGGGTTGCAGTTCAGAGGGGGAGAGATGAAAAAGGCCGGATTTAGGACCTGTGTCGTCCTTGAAGGCAGGGCGACTCTCCGAAGGTAGAGCAGAACCTCCGGATGGGTACCCCCCTTGATTTTTTAGCGGGAACAAAAGGGTTTTGGGTCCGGGGTCACCCCAGGCCTTTGCATCGGGGAGGAGGAAAAACGGATTTTGGTCAACCGTGTAGCGGGGATAGGGAAAAGGGCGCCCTTCCCGGGGGAAAAAAAGAGCAGCTTGTTTGCCGGGGGGTTCAGTTTGAGGGGTTATCCCGTCACCACACTGATATCTGCCAGACCTGAAGAGAGCGATTCGCCAGTGGTTATCCCCTTTTTACCATCAGTTTGGCATTTTGCACTTTATTGATAGCTGGAAAATGCTAAAAGACACAGAAAAATTAAAACCCATCGAAAAGGTTGCATTTAACCCCACTGTATGTTTTTCATATCCAATAGAACAAATAGACTTTTCCCACCGCCCCCCGTTCTTTAGACCTCCAATTATACCCTGTCTAAAGGAAAGGGAGAACATTAGACCTCCACATTATCCTTGATATAAAGGTACAGGGGAACATTAGACCAATTTATCCCCTTTTGATCTAAAGGTTTACGGGGGGGAACAAGACCCCACTATACCCTGATCAAAAAGGTTTACGGGGGGAACATTATACCCCCCCTTTTACCCTGATCTAAAGGTCAGGGGCCCTTTATCCTCCCCTTTTTACCCGATCAAAGGGGTTCAGGGGAAAAACATTAGCCCTCCACATTTACCTTATTAAAGGTACAGGGGAAAACATTAGACCCCACATTATCCCCTGATCAAAAGGGTACAGGGGAAATTAGACCTCCAAAATCCCTGATCTTTAAAGGTACGGGGAACATTAGACCTCCATTTACCCGTTTAAAAGGTACGGGGGAACTTAGACCCCCTTTATCCCGATTTAAGGTACAGGGGAAATTAGACCCTTTTATACCCTGATTAAGGACAGGGGGACATTAGACCTCCACATTTTACCCTTAAAAAAGGTTGGGGGGGAACTTTTAGCCCTCCACATTATACCTGATTAAAGGTACGGGGGGGGACATTAGCCTCCAATTTACCTGATCAAGGTTCGGGGGGGGAACTTAGTCCACATTATCCTTGTTAAAGGTACAGGGGGAATTAACCTCAAATTTTATCCCCTGATCAAAAAGGTCGGGGGGGGGAACTTTAGCCCTACTTTATACCCTGATCTAAAGGTTCAGGGGGGAAAATAGCCCTAACCTTATCCCTTTGATCTAAAAGGGAAGGGGGGAACATTAGACCCCACAATACCCTGTCTAAAGGACGGGGGACATTAGCCCTCCAATATCCCCTACCCTAAAGTACAGGGGAACTTTTAAAGCCCTCCAATTTAAACCCTTGATTAAAAGGTACAGGGGAACATTCCCCTTTACCCTGATATAAAGGTGGGGGGAACATTAGCCCAATTTATCCCTGATCTAAAGGTCAGGGGAACATTGACCTCCCACTTTAAACCCTTAAATTAAAGGTAAGGGGAAAAACATTGACCCACATTAACCCTGTTAAAGGTACGGGGAAATTGACTCCACTTTTAACCCTTGATCTAAAGGTACGGGGAAAACTTTTGCCTCCACATTATCCCCTGATCTAAAGGGTACAGGGGAACATTAGCCCATTATCCCTGATCTAAAGGTACAGGGGAAATTAGACCTCCACATTTTTTCCCTGATCTAAAGGTACGGGGGGAACTTTTAGACCACTTTATCCCCTGATTAAAGGTCGGGGGGGGGAACATTAAACCCTCCCACATTAAACCCTGTAAAGGTACGGGGGAAAAAGGGATTTTCACATTTTTAATTTGACTAAAGGTAAGGGAAAATTAGACCCAAATTTTAACCTGATCTAAGGTGGGGGGGGAATTTTTAGCCCCCCACATAACCCCGATCAAAAAGGACAGGGGAAAAACTTTTAGACCCCACATATCCCCTGACTAAAGGTTTTAACAGGGGAACTAGACCAATTATACCCTGATCTAAAGGTTCGGGGGACCTGGGGCCCTCCATGTGTTTCCCCTGCCTCCCCAATACATTTGTAGTTCATTTTTTAAAATTTTTCCCCAAGCCCTTTAGCCTTTCTAGAGTTTCAAATATAGCTTTTTGGGGAAAAGGGGGTTAACCCTTTTTTTTTTTTGGGACGAATTCTTCATAAATAGGCCTATCTTTTTTTTGATGACTTATTAACGGTGGTGTGATTTTTTTTTTCAGGGCCGTGTTTTGGCAAAGGGTATAGCTTTGGTTGTCCGGGATTCGTTTTTCATTTAAAGGAAAAACCTCAGGGCGTTTTGGGAAACCCCCGGAGATGGTAGGAAGATCTCTAATCGAAAAACGTCGCATTTTTATTGTCCACAGTCTAAAGATGTGGCACAATCAGGTGTGGACGTGGAAGGGATGTTAGGAGAAAGGGAAAAAAAACCGGGGGTGTGGCAGTGGACAAATTCCTGCCTATGCTGGAATCCATAGTTAGAGGGGGGTAAAAAATTTGAAGGGGGAGAAAAGGGGCCCATCCCTGCCCTTTTTCCTTCGGTGGATTTGCCCTTGGGGCGCTTCCCCGGGGGTGAGCGCCATCTCCTCAAAAAAAGGGGGGGGCCTGGCCTTTAAGCCCTCCAAAAAAACTATGGAGAGAGACAAGGGCAAAGGGGGGCATCAACCCGGGGGAAACATTATGGCTTATCCAAAAAGGCACCCTATTCCTATTTTCAGTGGTCACGGTTTAGGGAACGGTGCAGTGCTGGAGGCGTCTTACTGACCGGGTTTTAATCCCCCCCCTTATCCAAAGGCCGTGATCGGGGGAAAAAATCCCATCGGGCGGCGCAAAATTTGGCCCCGCATGTGGGTTTCTCTAATTCCCCGGGCGTACTGTGCAAAAAAAAGGGCCAAAGCAGGGTTTTTTACTCAACGTCAAACATTTTGGGGATAAACAAATTTTTTTAAAGTTTACCTTTTGGTTTTTTTTCTTTTTTAAAATTTTTTCAAAAAAAAACAAAAAATTTCTTCTTTTCCAAATACAATTTTCCCCCGAAAAATTTGCTGGACTTCCCGGGGGTGAAAGGGGGAAAAATTTACTTTACGGGTTATTGGCGGAGGTTTGGAACTCTATTTCTTTTTTTTGTAATTTTAATTTAAACTAATTTCCCAAGGTGGGGTCTCCATAAAACCAATATTTCCATTCCTCAAAACAGGGCAAAATTCCAGGCCAAAATTTTCAAAACAGCTCTTCAATTAAAAAAGGGCCCTTATATCACTTTCAAACCTTATTTCCCCCAAAAACAAGTGTAAAAAACAAAAAAAAAATAATAAAAAAACAGGACAATTACATTTTTTTACTGCAATGGGCCTTTAATGTTTTGCTTTATTTCAATCTAAATGGACCCTTGATTTAGAAGAATTTTTTTTCCGAGGGAATTTTAAATTTCCCCAAAGAGTGAGGAAAATGATTTTTAGAAAGCAGGTTTTTAAATATGCAGGGTGAATATGCGTTTAAATTTCGGTGTAATTTTGGTTGTAAAAATATGCAGTGGGAAAAGGGTGAAATAGCAGTGTAAATTGCAGTTTAAAAGCAGTGGGAATAGCAGTGTGGAATAGCAGTGGAAAAATTTCAGTTTGGGAAAAAAGTAGAGTAAATATGAAGTGTAAAAAAACAGTGTAAATTTTGCAGGGTTAAATTGCAGTGTGAAAATAGCAGTGGAAAATTTCAGAGTGTTTAAATATGAGTGTAAAAATTTCGGTTTTGTTTTAAATATGCAGTGTGGAAAATGCAGTGTGGAAATGCAGTGTAAATATTGTGGTAAAATATGGGGGTGAAAAATTTGGGGTAATTAAATTTTTGGGGTTTTTTAAATACGCAGTGTGAAATTGCGTGTAAAAATGCAGTTGTGAAAAATAGTTTAAATATGCAGTGTTTTAATAGCGTGTAAATATGCAGTTTTAAATGGTGGGAAAAGCAGTGTGGAAAAAGCAGTTTGTGAATTGCAGTTTAAATAGCAGTGGAAATATGCAGTGTAAATATGCAGCGTAAATACGCAGCCACAAAGCCTACTCTGTGTCTCCCTGAAGTACCAGGGAGGAAAAGTGAGAGAGACAGTGACATAAAATTGTGACAAATTTGTTTTTTTACTTACAACATCACATGTCTGCGTACTATGTATTTTTGCTTAATCTTAAATCTTTAGCTTAATCTTGGTTTTACTTCACTTTAACTTTGTGGACATGCCCAACTACTCTCATAAAATCTGTTTTCACTTTTTAGAACATACGTGGAAGTCCCTTGGATCTCTTGAGACTTGACCGTGAACTTGTTTTCGATCGGTTCAGTCTCTGTTTCATGTAAAGGTCAATGTCAAACTGCTACTTAATACATCTGCTTCATAAATCCTCCTTGTCCCAGCCGTTTTTCCCCAGTTTCAACAACACGTTATGAAACACTGTATATCTCTAGGTCTAGTGACATAGATGTGTCCCAAATGGCACCCTATTCCCTATATAGTGCACTACTTTAGACCAGAGCCTGGGCTATATGTGATAGGGTGTCATTTTGGACAGAGATAATAGTGTAACCAACACTTTACCATCTGCTTCAGATGTCTTCTGTTTTGTTCTTATTTGATCCTAACAGGAGTCTGTTGGGCCAGGAAGGTTAGCGGAGGGTCATCAGTAGTGTTTTAAAGAGGAAGTGGGACTGTGATGTGTTGTGATGTGTTTACCAGTGTTGAGAATCATGATGGCTTTCATACAGAGGAACTCTTCTTTGGTGACCTGGAGACTGGTGAACTCCTGAGGGATGAACTGCATGGCCAGACACAGATCATAGATTGGAGATCTCCTCATACGATCCCTGGGAGACAATACAATATTTTAAATTGAGATATATCGTAATGGGATTTTATTGTTTAACTAAATAGTTGGATAAATGAAAAAAAAAAAAAAAAGGTTTTAATAATTCAATTCAGATTAATATAGAACATTGACACAACTTACTGGCTGAGGATGAGATCAGGAGCGAAGTACAAGTATTCACTGGTGACGTTCTGGAAAGATCTCCAGCCCAGAGAGAACACCATGAGGTTCATCCAGGAGTACTGGATGAGCGTCATCTGATCGTTGATGTGGAGGCCACGGAACCCTGTCAACAAACCAGAGAAAATAGTATGTGTAGTTTTCAAGAACGTTTTTTACTTGCAATGACTGTGATATGTGGTTATTTTACCTACCATGGTTGAATGCACTGACTGTAAGTCACTCTGGATAAGAGTGTCTGCTCAATGACCAAAACATTAATGTAAATGTAATAAAAGAAGAGAGAATGACCTTTATTAACACTTATCTACTGTCATTTGAGTTGAAATGGTTCATTACCTTTATTCGTACTTATCTCCTGGGACAGCGACGTGTGAGGTTGTGTCTCTCTCTGCGGGAGGTAAGCTTGGCTCATATTGTGTCGAGTAAAGCTTAAACCATGTATTTAGATTGTAGGTAGGTATTGTAGGTAGCTTATCTAGGTAGTTATCGTAGGTTATTGTAGGTAAGTATTGTATTCGGCTCAGCCCGGACAAAGTATGAGGCTAGCTGACTCACTACCTGGACCAATAAAGCTAGCTAGCTAGCGGGTAGCTACTGGTAACTATTAGCAACTGTGGATTAGCAGTTGTTTCCAATGTTATTCAACGCTTAAGTGTACCTGTAATTATGCCAGCTAGCTACCTACCATTCAGCTGTTTTTCTAACCTCATTATCTGAAGCATTAACGTTAGGTAGTTAGTAGCTACTGTACTCGAAATGTAGCTAGCTAGTTGCTTCCTGGATAGCTAACTAAACAATAGCTGGAACGACCTAGCTTTAATATTTAGAGACGCGTTCTCTCCGTTGGGACAGACGCGAACTGGCTGAATAGATTCAGTGGCTAGCTTTGCACCTAACTGGCTAACAGTAGCTACTAAGGGTAAGTTATAACCTACATTTATTTTTGTTTTGTTTTTACATACTGGTAACCAGAGTTGTTCAAGGGAATTTGGGACATGGGTGACTAGCTAACGTTAGCTTGGCTCTCTGTGTGTTCGTGCAGTGGGAAGAGGGGTTAGTTCGTTGGCAGAGAGCAATGGCTAGCTAGTATGCTAACTATTCTAGCTAACTAAATGGCTGAATAAGTTGACGACGTACTCACTCAAACTGTCAAAACCACCCCAAAACTTTACACAATGTTAGACACGGACACAAATGATCTGCTTGGCGTGTTAACACACTGGTGGTTTGTTGTAACCGAGTATTGGTGCTAAACCGTGTTATTGGAGGCTGGCATGCTAGTTGGCTTTGGCGTCATATGATTCGGTGTCCCAAGTTAGCTAGCTGAATAAAGTAAGTTAGAGTCTATTCCTAGAAACATTGAACCACTGTAGTTTACAACAATTATAATTTCTAAAGTGGAAGTTGGGAGAGTTATATTTGAGTGTTTCAGTGAAACGTAAGTGAGGGAGGCCCCGCTCTCTCGCTTTCCCAGATGTTGAATTCATTTCATTCCGATCTCCTTTGCATTATTGTAGCCTTTCTCTGTAGCCTGTCAACTATGTGTCTGTCTATCCCTGTTCTCTCCTCTTTGCACAGGCCATACAAACGCTTCACACCACGTGGGTGTTCTGGTGGTCCCTGCGCGCACAACCCACGTGGAGTTCCAGGTCTCTGGCAGCCTCTGGAACTGCCGTTCTGCGGGCCAACAAGGTAGAGTTCATCTCAGCCTATGCTACCCTCCAGTCCCTCGACTTCTTGGCGCTGACGGAAACATAGTTTACCACAGAAAACACTGCTACTCCTACTGCTCTTTCCTCGTCTAACCATGTGTTCTCGCATACCCCGAGAGCATCTGGTCAGCGCGGCGGTGGCACAGGAATCCTCATCTCTCCCAAGTCGAAATTCTCTCTTTTTTCCCTGACCCATCTGTCTATCTCCTCATTTGAATTCCATGCTGTCACAGTCACTAGCCCATTCAAGCTTAACATCCTTGTCATTTATCGCCCTCCAGGTTCCCTTGGAGAGTTCATCAATGAGCTTGACGCCTTGATAAGTTCATTTCCTGAGGATGGCTCACCCCTCACAGTTCTGGGTGACTTTAACCTCCCTACGTCTGCCTTTGACTCATTTCTCTCTGCCTCCTTCTTTCCACTCCTTTCCTCTTTTGACCTCACCCTTTCACCGTCCCCCCCTACTCACAAGGCAGGTAATACGCTTGACCTCATCTTTACTAGATGCTGTTCTTCTACTAATAGTCTCCGACCACTACTTTGTATCCTTTTCTCTCTCGCTCTCCTCCAACACTACTCACTCTGCCCCTACTCAGATGGTAATGTGCCCTCGCAACCTTCGCTCTCTCTCTCCCGCTACTCTCGCCTCTTCCATCCTATCATCTCTTCCCTCTGCTAAATCCTTCTCCCTCCGATCTCCTGATTCTGCCTCCTCAACCCTCCTCTCCTCCCTTTCTGCATCTTTTGACTCTCTATGTCCCCTATCCTCCCGGTCGGCTCGGTCCTCCCCTCCTGCTCCGTGGCTTGATGACTCATTGCGAGCTCACAGAACAGGGCTCCGGGCAGCTGAGCGGAAATGGAGGAAACTAGACTCCCTGCGGACCTGTCATCTTTTCACTCCCTCCTCTCTACATTCTCTTCCTCTGTTTCTGCTGCTAAAGCCACTTTCTACCACTCTAAATTTCAAGCCTCTGCCTCTAACCCTAGGAAGCTCTTTGCCACCTTCTCCTCCCTGCTGAATCCTCCTCCTCCTCCTCCTCCTCCTCCTCCTCCCTCCTTGACGACATCCGATCCTCATTTATTAAGTCAAATGACACCGCTGGTCCTGCTCACACTGCCCTAACCTATGCTTTGACTTCTTTCTCCCCTCTCTCTCCAGATGAAATCTTGCGACTTGTGACGGCCGGCCGCCCAACAACCTGCCTGCTTGACCCTATCCCTTCCTCTATTCTCCAGACCATTTCCGGAGACCTTCTCCCTTACCTCACCTCGCTCATCAACTCATCCTTGACCGCTGGCCATGTCCCTTCCGTCTTCAAGAGAGCGAGATTTGCACCCCTCCTCAAAAAACCTACACTCGATCCCTCCGATGTCAACAACTACAGACCAGTATCTCTTCTTTCTTTTCTCTCCAAAACTCTTGAGCGTGCCGTCTCTAGCCAACTCTCCTGCTATCTCTCTCAGAATGACCTTCTTGATCCAAACCAGTCAGGTTTCAAGACTGGTCAATCAACTGAGACAGCTCTTCTCTGTGTCACGGAGGCTCTCCGCACTGCTAAAGCTAACTCTCTCTCCTCTGCTCTTATCCTTCTAGACCTATCTGCTGCCTTTGATACTGTGAACCATCAGATCCTCCTCTCCACCCTCTCCGAGTTGGGCATCTCCGGCGCTGCTCACTCTTGGATTGCGTCCTACCTGACAGGTCGCTCCTACCAGGTGGCGTGGCGAGAATCTGTCTCCGCACCACGTGCTCTCACCACTGGTGTCCCCCAGGGCTCAGTTCTAGGCCCTCTCCTATTCTCTCTATACACCAAGTCACTTGGCTCTGTCATATCCTCACATGGCCTCTCCAATCATTGCTACGCAGACGACAAACAATTAATTTTCTCCTTTCCCCCTTCTGATAACCAGGCGGCGAATCGCATCTCTGCATGTCTGGCAGACAAATCAGTGTGGATGTCGGATCACCACCTCAAGCTGAACCTCAGCAAGACGGAGCTGATCTTCCTCCCTGGGAAGGACTGCCCGCTCCATGATCTCGCCATCACGGTTGACAACTCCATTGTGTCCTCCTCCAAGAGTGCAAAGAGCCTTGGCGTGACCCTGGACAACACCCTGTCGTTCTCTGCTAACATCAAAGCGGTGAGCCGATCCTGCAGGTTCATGCTCTACAACATTCGCAGAGTACGACCCTACCTTCCACAGAAAGCGGCCCAGGTCCTAATCCAGGCACTTGTCATCTCCCGTCTGGATTACTGCAACTCGCTGTTGGCTGGGCTCCCTGCCTGTGCCATTAAACCACTACAACTTATCCAGAACGCCGCAGCCCGTCTGGTGTTCAACCTTCCCAAGTTCTCTCATGTCACCCCGCTCCTCCGCACACTCCACTGGCTTCCAGTTGAGGCTCGCATCTACTACAAGACCATGGTGCTTGCCTACGGAGCTGTGAGGGGAATGGCACCTCCTTATCTTCAGGCTCTGATCAGACCCTACACCCAAACGAGGGCACTACGTTCATCCACCTCTGGCCTGCTAGCTCCCCTACCTCTACGGAAGCACAGTTCCCGCTCAGCCCAGTCAAAGCTATTTGCTGCTCTGGCACCCCAATGGTGGAACAAGCTCCCTCACGACGCCAGGACAGATGAGTCACTGACCACCGTCCGGAGACACTTGAAACCCTACCTCTTTAACGAATACCTGAAATAGTATAAAGTTATCCTTCTACCCCCCCCCCCCCCCCCCATAAAAAAAAAGAAGAAAAAAAAAGTGGTTGTCCCACTTGCTATCATAAGTTGAATGCACCAATTTGTAAGTCGCTCTGGATAAGAGCGTCTGCTAAATGACGTAAATGAAGTACATTTGAGTTTAAATGGTTCCTTTATTCACACTCGTCTTGTCACATCTCCTCCCGTTGCTCCCCTCCGGCGCTCTGATTCGCCGGTCTACTGAGCCAACGGTCTGAGCGCACCACCTCGGCAACACCAGAATGGAAACCCAACGCACCCTAATCACCTCCAGCGCACCTGCACCTCATCATCTCATCACCACCCCTATATAGCCCTGGACTGTTCAGTGTTGTGTTGTGTGTGATTGTTAGTGTCATGTCGTGTACTCGCTCTTTGTTGTTCTCTTGCTCAGTGTTAAGTAAACCTTTACATTGTTGATTCCTGCGTCTGCGTCCTGCCTCTTCGTATCTTCAGTACTCGTCAAACATCTACTGTCATTTGAGTTGAAATGTTTATTAACTTTATTCGTACTTATCTGTCATTTGAGTTGAAATGGTTTATTTCCTATATTTATACATATCTACTGTGATTTGAGTTTAAATGGTTCATTTCCTTCATTCATATTTATAAATTGTCATTTTAATTGAAATAGTTCATTAAATTTT